AGAGAGAGAGAGAGAGAGAGAGAGAGAGTTAAGTGCTATGGAGTCAGTTCTGACTCATAGCACCCTGTATAAGGTTTTTGAGGCATGGCGGGGAGTTTGAACAGCCAGACTTGTGATTCAAACCCACCTTCAAGTCCAGCACATGAACCCAGTGTGTATGCATGCATACATATACATACACACAAGTGAGCACAGTCCCATCTATCCATACTAGAGGGTTTTTGTTTTTTAAATCTTAATTCAAAATTTTTCCATATATAGACTACTGGTGTAATGCTGTAGGATAAGCTCTGGACTGTGGGCTACAGGATCGGTGGTACAAACCCACCAACTGCTCCTAGGAAACCTTATACATGAATTGGAACTGACCCAACAGCATTTGGCAACAAATACATATTTATATATGCTTGTTAAGAGGGTATTTTCAATATGCTATAAATATAACGGGTGAAGTCATAAAAGCACTGCCGTAAAACCAGAACCATAGTCTTGGGAACACTAAGGTCACTTGGCATAAGAGTACACAAAGACCTTGTTCTTCATATCCTACTTTGGTGAGTACCTACTAGGGTCTTAAAAGCTTGTGAGCAGCTATATAAGAGAGGCAATTACTGTTTTCTTCCCATCCAGAACAAAAGAGGGTGAAAAAAATCACCAAACACAAGAAAACAATTAGCCGAAAGGGTTAATTAACAAACCATGTGAACTCCAGCCTCCAACATGGAGACCAGAACTAGATGGTTCGGGCTACCTCTGCTGACCACTCTAAAAGGGATCATACTAGTTGGTCCTGGACTGAGTGGGAGAAAATTTCAGAATAAAACTCCAAAGCACTAGGTTATTGGTCTGATACAGACACTGGTAGAACCCCGAGAACATGGTCCTTAGTTAGTCACACTTTAGGTCCCCTGTGACTTAACTTTTAGCCACATAACTGTTAAGAGCTGTGGAGCTGATTCCGACTCATAGCAACCCTGTGTGTGTTTCCAAGGAGCGGCGGGTAAGTTTGAACTGTCAACCTTGTGGTTAGCAGTTGAATGCTGATCCCAAGGCATCATCACCCCAGGAACCAAATAATAGACAGGCCTACAGGTGAACAAGGAGTCTTGGAGTGGCGCTGTGAGCTAATGTGCTAGACTGCAAAGTTGGCTTGACCTGCAAGGTCAGCAGTTCAAGCTCACCAACCAGTCCTGGGAAACACCCTATACAGGGTCGCTATGGGTCAGAACTGACTCGACGGCACTTAACATTAGGTGAATAAGGAGCTCTGGTAATACAGTGGTTAGGCTGCTAAACTACCAGCAGTTCCTCAGGAGAAAAATGAGGCTTTCTACCTTGGAAACACTATACAGGGTTGCTATGAGTCAAAACACCACCACAATCATAAGGTGAATAGTTAATACTTCCCTGGTAGGAATTGGTAGGGAAGGATGAATGGAAACTAGAAACAGGAAGTGTTAAACACTGTGGGGACTACAATTAATGTCACAAAACTAAATGTGTATAAACTGTTGAATGGAAAACCAATTTCTCTGTAAACTTTCACTCTAATTATAATAAAAAGGAAAAAAACAAAACAAAAATCTCCTGAATAACATTTCAGATTGTTACAGAATGTTACCCTTCAATCTGTTGGCACAAGTTATTTCAGAGCATAGGAGCCAAATAATAGATAGGCCTACAGGTGAACAAGGAGTCTAGAGTGGCACTGTGGGCTAATGTGCTGGACTGCAAAGTTGGCTTGACCTGCAAGGTCAGCAGTTCAAGCTCACCAACCAGTCCTGGGAAACACCATATACAGGGTCGCTACGTTGGAGTGTGACTTTATAAAGTGCCATCAAGACACCCTAAATAGGTTTTCTGAGCAGTTGGTGGGTTTGAACTGCTGCCACCTTTGTGGTTCGCAGCCAAGTGCTGATCCTACATCAATCACTCCACCAGGATAAAATTAACACTTACCTGCTGTAAGTAATCTGGGTTATTATGAAGCTTCACTAAGCTTTTGAAACAAGTGTTAGAAAGGATTTGTTTTCATCCTGGGATGGTAAAAATTCTGGGTTATTATGAAGCTTCACTAAGCTTTTGAAACATGTTACAAGGTCACCCTGGGACAAGACTGGCTCCTACAGGATGGAGAAGGTGTTTCCCTTTCATCCTCTGAAATCAGCAACTGTCTAGTTACTTGAAGATCACTTTGAGTTCACTTTCTGACATTGGCAGCAAGGCCTCAGAAGGCTGCTCCCTACTCCTAAAAAATCCACTCATGCTTAACTCACATAATCTCTGTTTCCCAACTACTCTCTCATCCTCTTAAAGATGCATGCTATCACCTATATGTTTTAGACGATTCTTTTTCTAATACATTATTTTGCCCTTGCTGGGAGTAACTGTTTTAGATCAACACGGGGTCAGAACTTGTGAAACTGGTGAGTAGATAATCTGTTGTCCTAGGTTACCTGTGCTCTAGTGATGCTTTGTGTCAAAGCAAATAGCTAGCCCCACATATGACCTAGGGTGTTTAAATCATGATTACTTATTAAATGCAAACGTCAGCTCATCTCTCTCTTAATGGATGCTTTCAAATAATAAACAAGATGCTTTTGTTAAATGCTGTGGAACTGATTCTGACTCAGAGTGACCCTGTATAGGATTTCCAATGAGAGGCTGCTGGGTTTGAACCACCAGCCTTTTGTAGTTAGCAGTCCAGTACTTCTCCTAGAGTGCACACCAGAACACCTAGCTAAATTACAAAATACTTGGAATTTACTTGTTACAACTTTCTCTAGTATAAATTTTAAATTACTGACAATTTAAAACGTTGTTCTCAAAGAGCAAAACAATGTTAAGAACAACATGAAGGCTTTGATACGTCACCATGAAATTTGTGTTCTCTGTATTTTTGATAAAAATTCAAAATAAAAATTTAAATATGTTAGTATGGAATCTTGCCATTATTCTTTTATTTGCATTCTCCTTAAAATTTCTATTTCAGAATTGAGTCATTAGTGTATGAATTTTGAGACCCCGGTTCTAAATTGTTTTTAGTGGCAACACAATATTCTCAGCACTTGAGAATTACATGGCAAGACTGACTTTGTTTTTGCTTGATTTAAAGTGCATGACTCACACTTTACACATCTTCAGGATGTGCTAGAAGAGGTAAAAGGGTACAACTGTGTAAAACAGTGCAAAGGGCATCATGGGCTTTGGTTAGCACACAAAGACTTGAGTCCGAGTGCCAACCCTGATTAGATGTGTGATGGGCCAATCAATGATTGCTGGACATAGGATTCATCTAAAATGGGGAAAATGCTTTTCTACCACAGTGTCACACTCCTGGCGTGGTGCTATAGGATCAGCACTGCACTGTGAATCACAAGGTTGGCAGCTGAAACCCACCAGCTGCTCTTTGGAAACACTATATAGGGTCACTATGAGTCGGAACCGACTCAACATCACTTAACACAGAGCAGCACACCTCAGATGAAGTCTATGCAATGTCTCATTGTCTACCCTGAACCTAGCAATCATTTTACTTGTTGCAATATTTGAAAGAAGCTAGTTGTCCAAAATCCACTTTCTATATCTAAAAACCTCATTTTTATGTCATTTCTAGAATGCATGATAGCCAGCATGTGTCTCAACAACAAGTTATTTCTCCAGACAAAGGGCAATAAACAACTTTAACCAAAAGATTTATTTCGTAAGAATAAAATCTAGTTTCACATGGTCTACTTTTACTAACATTTCCTTAATTTTCCATTAGCATTTTTCCTTTTCTGACTTTAGCTGTTTAATTCTAGTCTTATGGAAGCACAAACTGCTACTTCAAGTTGGCTTGCCTCTAGAAAAGTATGTGTACTGGTTCAGGAAGTATGACTGTGGTTTCTATAGCAACAACATTGAGTTTTCTCAACAAGAAATTCCAGCTAGGTTCTAGCTACCTAAGGGTCACACCCAAATGTTTTAGTTGTTTCCCTTGGATGAAATGCGCATTTTCACTGGCTCCTTGTAGGATCAGTACTGGACTGTGAACCAGAAGTTCTGCAGTTCAAACCTACCAGTTGCTCCTCAAAAACCCTATAGAGGGTCACTATGAGTTGGAACTTATTCAACAACACTTAGCAACAACAACATCAAAGTTTGGAGTACTGGTGTGGTGCTATAAGGTAAGCACTGGACTGCTAACCAAAAGGTTGGTGGTTTAAACTCACTAGCCACTTCTTAGAAACCCTGTACAGTGCTGCTGTGAATGGAAAACAACAACAGCACTTAACAATCAAAAGCTTACGTCGTAGCTCCTGATGTAAACATCAGGAGATGGGTGTCATGATAAGTCTGCAGGAAATCACAATGTGACTTTAATGTAGTTTTGGCATGTGTACTGTTGTATCATCAGTGTGTTACTAACTGACAAAATCTGAAAGAAAACAGAGTTGAGTCTTTTAAAATAAAATGCTCCTCCCCCTGCAAAAAAAATATATTACTGAAGTTATTTCTGAGTATCTACTACAAAGCATATGAACTGCTGGGGTGTTGTAGGATCAGCATTGGACTGCGACCCACAGGGTTAGCAGTTTAAACTCACCAGCTGCTTCTCGGAAACCCTATACAGGTTTGCTGTGAGCCGGAATAAACCTGATGGCACATAAAAACAATAGTGCGTATAGGTTTGTACATTTATTTAGTAATGAATAAACTCTAGTTCAACACTGCTCTACTTTGACTTTAGCTCTTAGTTCTAGTTTTCTACAAGTACAAAACGCTACTTCAAAAAGTGGATGCCACCAACACCACAACCTAAGGTAACCTGCACTTACCCTTTGTACTTTCCCATGTGACGAGCAGCAGCATTAGGCAGTATTTAATTTGTTTCAGGGAACAAGTAAGTGGTCTTTAGAGAAAGTCTACAAGAGAGATATAAGCACAGTGTTTGGCAGGTGAAAGATCTAACTGGAAGAAAGTGTGTTCTTCAAATCATCATTTAAAAAAATCCTCAATGGTGTCTATACAAGAGCTGACCCACATATCCAAAGATGTGAAGAACACAAGTGAGGTGGCAGGAGAGTGTATCCTGGGGAAGTTTTCCATAGCTCATAGACTAGAACTTGGTAGCTACAAACCTTTAGAAAGTTCTACCCTGGGTAAGTCCACCACGGGGGTGGGGCCAGATCCAACTGCAGCCTAAGTGCAAAGTGCCCCTTCTGTCCTCTGCCCAATGTCTGCAGTGGGTGTTGTTTCTCAGTACAAAGAGCCCTGCTATAAGGGCCTGGGCATGTCCCACATGCAGGCTGAGGCCTGCAGCAGTTGGGCACAACAGCAGGTGGACAGCAGCATCATAGCTTCTCAAATGGAAACAGATGGGCAGCCACCTGTTTCTTTCCCCTTGTGGTCTTACGGCACTTCTGCTTCAGATCTTCAAGTTCGAGGTTTTGAGGCCAAGAAGCAGCCAAGATCCTGGCTGCTGCTGCTTGTGAGCTGGTCCCCTCCTCTTCATCCAAAGAGAGTGCACCTTCTGCATCAGCACAGGGTCCTAATGCCTCATTCTGCAGAGGTGGGAGGAGAAAAGAGGTGGGAAATGCACAGCACATATCAGTAAAGACACACTTCGGGAGCACTGTCAAGGCGGCAGTACAGGTCCTAGCACTTGATTCAGCCGCCAGACAACCTGAGTGCTGTGGCTGGGCTCTGCGGACAGACAGGCAATGACTGGGAAGAGCCAAAACATTCCTGTAAGCATTTCAAGTCGCCCTTCCCACTCACATGACTCTTACACTAAGACTTCCTCACGTGGGGACTCATTTAAGACAGTCCTGGAGAGCCCGTTGTAAGCTGAGCACAGTGGAGTACAAAGATGTTAGGCAGCTCACAAATCTAAGAGGTAACTTTGGTGCTTTTGTATTTGTCATCCCAGTTTTGAACAAAAGTACATTATAGAGTGAAGGTATATATATGGAAGATGGGACCAATGCAAAGAAGAAAAGAATATAATAACATTATACATAATTAAAGAGATCAGAGAAAAACACAAAAATGTAAAAGAAAACAACAAAAAGGATCTCAAAAAGAAACCAAACAAAAATACTGAAAATGAAAGGGACAATAGCTGAAAGGAGAAACACAATGGAACAGATTTAATCAGGCATAAGGAAGAACGCTGTAGTAGAGGTGGTCGTTGTTAAGTGCCATCATGTTGGTTCTGACTCATAATGACCCTTTATGGGTTTCTGAGGAGCATTGGGTGAATTTGAACCATCGACCTTGCTGTACAGTGTATTATTCTGCAGGGCCACAATAGTTAAAATTCTAGAGGATGAACAGTAACAAGAACTTCGGAGGCTCAAGAAGGCTGGGAAAAATTTAATTCAATTATCGGACAGCAAAAAGAGCCCTACCAGAGGCATCATGGGAATTCCAGAAGAAAAGAAGGAGACAGAAAATTTGAAGAAATAATGACAGAAAATGTCCTCAATCTGACCAAACACATGAAACCTACAAATTCAAGAAGCTCAGAGACCCTCAAGCAAGATAACCAAATGAGATCTACACCAAAAATATCCAAGGTAGCTTTTTTCCCCAAAGTTCAGTATAAAGAGAGAATCTTGGAAGCAGTGAGAGAGACACAGTCACATACAAAGAATTCTAAGTCAGATTACACACAAATTTCTAAGGCACATCGGGGGTCAGAAAGCAATGGAATGATATCTTTAAAGTACTGAAAGGAAAAAGCTTTAAGTTAAGAATATTATATACCTAGTGAAACTGTCCTTCAAGAAGAAGAGTGAAATTAAAACATTCTCACACTAACCGAAGCTGACATAATTCATAGCTACCAGACTGAACTCTCAAAAATCACTAATTAGAGTTTTCTGTAGATAGAAGGGAAAAGACAGTAGAAAGTAACTCAAAGCCATATATAAAAAGGGGTTAACATGGATAAGAACAAGCGCTAATAGTAAATTGATTTGTCATTTATGCTGTTTAATAGCAAATGTATAAAAAGGATAAAATTGTTACAGGCAACATGAAATATGTCGTTTTAAATCAGTGATAATAAAATGAGGGCAGAGAATGGTATAGGTATAGAATTCCTTATCTATTACTGAAGTTAAGTTGCTACACATTTACCCTAGGATAACTACAAGATGTTAAATTAATATTCATGTTAAATTAATATTCATGAAAACTATGAAATGTTTTCAAAACACTCACACACACATAAAAGGAAGAGAAGATAACCAAAATGACTCATGCCCAATAAACCAACAAAACACAAAAGCTAGCAGTATTAAAAACGATAAAGGTTAAGGCAAAAGATAAGTAACAAAGGGCAGAAGTAACCCACTTCTTAGGGGTAATTACAGTGATGAAACTGGAAAACATTATGCTGAGCAAAATAAATCAATCACAAAAGGACAACTACTGTACAACCTCACTTATCTGAAAAGCCAATCACAGGTAAATGTATACAGACCAAAGCAGTACTAGTAACCAGGAGAGGTTGGAAGGGGAAAGGAGGCTTACTGCTTAGTTGAGTACGGACATTCAGTTTACAGTGACTGAAAAACACATGATGTTGCAAAGCAGATTAATTTATGTAACTTCTATCAAAAAGTTGTATATCTGTAAAAAGTTAATTGGCGAGTTGTAAGATAGATAAATGTACAACAACATCAAAAATAACGTCTGAAGTTGCTTATATACAAATATCTTACAGGATATGGTTCTGTGGTTTAGAGGTTTAAGGTCATGGTTTCATCATTGGCCTAACAATGATTTCAGTGCAAAGATGTCAGCTTAAGGACTAAGGTGAGCCTGACCCAAGCCATGGTATTCTCAATAACCTCATCATATGCATGCAAAAGCTGGACAGTGAATAAGGAAGACCGTAGAAGAATTGATGCTTTTGAGTTATGGTGTTGGAGGAGAATATTGAAAGTGCATGAGCTGCCAAAAGAACCAACAGATCCATTTTGGGAGAAGTGCAACCAGAGTGCTCCTTGGAGGTCAAAATGGCCAAACTTCCGTCTCTCATACTTCAGACATATTATCAGGAGGGACCAGTCGCTGGAAAAGGATATCATGTTTGGTAAGGTGGAGGGTCAGATAAAAAGAGGAAGACCCCCGACGAGATGGACTGGCCAAGTGGCAGCATCAATGGACTCAAGTGTGGCAACAGAAGTGAGGTTGGTCTAGAATCGGGCCGTGTTTCGTTCTGAGGTGCATAAGGTCGCTATGAGTTGGTACCAACTTGATGGCACTTAACAACAACAACAACAACATTCTACCTCCTAGTTCTTTGCATAGTACCTAAGGTCTTAAGAGCTGGTAACTGGCTTTCCAAGGCACAACACTTACTGTCTATTCACCTGGAGTAACAGAGGAAGAAGAAGGGTCAGGAATAGGAGGAGGAGATGGGAAGTGTGACTAATTACCTCGAAGAACAACTGCCTCCTTTGCCATATCCAGTAGAACTAGATGGTGCCCAGCTAACACCAGTGAACTTTCATCCAAGATTCTATAGAAGAATCCAGATCAAATGAGGAAAGGTACAGAACAGAATTTCAAATTCTCACAGCTTTCTGGAGTCACGGAGGCTGATGAATCTCCAAAATAGTGTCCTGAGATAATCTTTAAACTTTAAACCCAGAAGTCTTTTTAAAATCAAACAATAGTTTAGCTTAATTAGTAAAGAACATCTGTCTTGAACAATGTGCTCTGTCAACACCTAATTCTATGGGACCACAGTGATAACATGACTAAAAAGATTAAGATAGGAGACTTAGGGGGCAATGATTTTGTGTCAATGGGGGAGGAACAAACTGGAAAAGGCACATAAGAATGGTTGGACAACTTGAAGAATGTACTTAATATCATAGAATTGTATATATAGAAAATGTTGAATTGGTATATATTCTGCTGTATAGATTCCAAACAACAAAAACAAATTATGGCAAAGGGCTCCCTGAAAGGATCTGACAGAGAGGCATGACAAAATATATGTTTTATAGGCAAATCAGTAGGGTTAGAAAGGGGGAACAAAGCAGAGCAATATGGTTTCTGCTGTAACCAGATCAGGTCCCTGTTTCTGACCTAGAACTGTCACCCCACATAACTGGGTTTACCTGCTTCTGGCTCAGAGTCATCTGAGACAGGGCTGCCAGTGCATTCCACCTAGCCGGCCTGAAGGACGGCAGGAGGCACTGACAGCCCCAGAGCCTGAGGGCAGGGTGTCAGGCAGATAGTGCACATGAGATCACAGTAGGCCCTCGGACAGACACAGGGTGGAGGCTGCAGGAGATGACTGTGCCAGTACAGGCCTGACTCCAGAAGGAAGTTCCCTGGGACTATGGTGAATTCATAGGGCCTGTGGTGCCATGACGTAACGTTATCTACACCTGACCAGTGGTTCCTGAGTTGGAGCCCCAGGAAACTGAGCCTGGCTTTCTTTAGAAAGTCCCACACTGACCTTGGCCCCATAGCGGAGCTTCAGCCTCTCTCTGATGAGCAGTCCTTTGGCCAGCAGCTTCCAGTTCCCTATAGCCCTTTTCTCCTTCTTCTGCAAGTCAGAGCAAAAAATAGGAGAACATAAAGTGTTAAGTGAGAACTGATTATTTAAAAAAAAAAAAAAAATCTAGATGGAATCTGAGAACACGTATATAAAGATATATATAAAATTTTATTTAAAAATAATTTTTCAATTACTCTAAGTGTCATTTTTCAAAGAACTAGTCTCATTTATAAAGTGAAACAACCTCTGCATGATACTGCTGTAACATGTAATGGTGGTGTGTTGATCCCTAACTCACATCAATCCCTCACAGAAAGGAACAAAACACTTGCCCAGTTTGTTCCATGATCAGTTGTGCATCAAATCACAGGATTTTCATTGATTGTTTTGTAAGTGGATTTTTAGACCTTATGAGTGTGTCTTAGTCTAGAAGCCCTCCTGACACCTACTGCACATGTTGTTGCTGTCAGATGTCATCTTCACTATTGTTATGTTTGAGCCCACTGTTGCCACCACTGTGCAAATCCATCTCATTGGGGGCCTGCCTCTTTTTTGCTGACCTTCCATTTATCAAGCGGATGTCCTTTTTCAGGGACCACTCCCTCTCAATAACATGTCCTAAGTATGAGAGACAAAGTCTTGCCACCCTGTCTTCCAAGGAGCACTCTGAAGGCACTTAATCCAAGACACATTTGTTTGTTATTCTGGCAGTCCCTTGTACTTTAAAAATTCTTCTCCAACACCGTAATTCAAATACATCGATTCTTGTAAGTTCTTCTACAGGTCCTTCCTTATCCATTGTTCAACTTTGCCGTGCCTATGAAGTTATTCAAAGTGTCAGGGCTTGCATCAGGCACACATTAGTCCTTAAACTCTTTTCTCTTTTTAAAGAGTCTTGAGCAGCAGAGTAGTATGATGTAATACATCATTTAATTTCTTGACTGCTGCTTTCCTGAGTGCTGATTGTGGATCCAAGCAAAACAAAGTCTTTGACAACTTTAGCCTTCCCTCTGTTTATCATGAGGTGCAATCCATACTGACAGCTGTAGGCTCAGATCTTCCTCAGTAAATATTTCAAGTACTCTTTGATATCAGCAAGTAAGGTTGTATCATCTGCAGACTGCAGACTGTTGTTGAGTCTGCCTCCTTCAATCCTGATGCCATGCTCTTTTCATATAATTCAGCTTCTCAGATTATTAGCTTGGCATACAGAACAAATAAGTATGGTGAAAACATACAATGCTGGTGAACACCTTTCAGGATTTTAAACCATTCAGTGTTCCCTTGTCCTTTTTGAAAAACTGCCTCTTGATCTACTTACAAGTTCCTCGTGAGCATAGTTAAATGTTCTAGAAGTTCCATTTAGTTAGTTATGAGCCAAATAATTGGATGCCTTTGCATAGTCAATAAAGTACAAGTAAACATCTTTCTGGCATTCTCTACTTTCAGTCAAGAACCATCTGACACCATCAATGATATCCCTTGTTCCATGTTCCCTTCTGAATCTGGCTTGAATTTCTTAATTAACTTAAGCAAAATCTTACTTGTATGTGATATTAATGATACTATTTGATGATTACCACATTCCATTAGGTCACCTTTCTTTGCTATGAGAACAAATATCTCATCATAATAACACACTACCCTCCACGGACATGAGGTGCAATGGCTGGGAATCAAACCCTGGGCTCCCACACAGAAGAGAAGAATTCTACCACGGAATCACAGTTGTCATTGTTGTGTGCTGCCACGTCGATGTTCAATTCACAGCAACCCCATGTGATACAGAACTGCCCCGAAGGTTGCCCAGGCTGTCATCTTTATGTTTCTCCTGCAGAGTTGGGGGATGGTCCCAGCCTCCAACCTTTTGGTTAGCAACCAAACATTCAACTATTGTGCTACCTGGGTTCTGCTGTTACGGACTGAAATTTTATGAGATGAGGTCATCAAGACCCTTGAAAGCAGACAACTCCTTTCCAGACACGTGTGGGTTTTGGCAGCAGACACTGGATTCAGAGTGTCTTCATGAGAAGAACAGGAACTCTTTGTAGAGCTCATCCACTCTCCCCTTTTTACACATGGTGCACGTGAAGCCCAGAGGAGAGAGAAGACCTAATATAGGTGTGGTAGTCCCCACCTCAGTGCACCGCAGGCTGGTCCCTTACCTCTTTTTCCTTCTTTTCAATGAGTTCCTGCTCTTTTTCCCAAGCGTCCAGGAGCACGTCTTTGTGTTCCTCACAGATAATATAACCATCAGTTCTGTGGGGACAAAACATGGGTGATGGTCCCTGAGCCTGCCCTATTGCTCTGACCTCTGTTTCCCTCTGCAGAGGACAGGAGGTACTCCTAAACACTTGGGCACTGAGTTCAGAATGCTGCCAGCAGCTACTAAGATATACACCTGCTTAAGGGAAGGCCTTAGGAAAGTGGACCGAAAGCTTCCTTCCCACTCCATGTCTACACAGCAGAACAGAACAGGTGCCACTGGACCTGAGCTCCCACCAATGCGCACTAAGTTCCCACTCCCCTCTCTAATAGCCTCATCCTTCATTCTGCTCCATCACGCACACAGGGTGGGAATAGCCTCCATGGAAGTCGAAGCCAGTGATGGCCTGCACACAGTCAATGTCCAGCTTCCGGGCCACACGATGCAGGTTGGGCAGATTCAGCTGGACACAGCCAACAGGCATCATGCTGGGCAGGAAGAGATACACATTCCCAAATTCATTGCGCGGTACCTGTGGAAAGGAACATACCACAATGTAGCCAGCTGGAGCATGAAGAAGCCTGTCCTGGCCCCGCTGAAAGCTTCCCTTACCTTTCCATCCACAGCCACAGGGGGCTGGTACTCCTCTGTCTGCCAGCGGCCAAACAGGCCCAGGTCATTTTGGTCCTGCAGCTGGGGCTCAGCTAGACGGGCTTTCCGGGCACGGTTGGAATAGCCTTTCACCATCTACACCAGAGGGAACAACCACAATATAAGACCCACAGGCACCATTTCCTGAGGCTTATTAGATACCAGACACCCTGCTCAGTGCTTTACACCTACTGCCACATTTAATTATTCAAACAAATCTCCGAGATCGGTGTGCCTTGTAATCCCTTTTATAATAACCACTACTACCCATACTACGACTGGTGGTAGCAACATGCACAGACAGAGCGCTCCTTCTGTTCTCAGAGCTTTGTTTCTATTAACTTACTTCATTCATCCTTATCACAAACTGTTGAGGTAGGCCCTATTGTCATTCTGTTTGACAGATGAGGAACTTCTTGTTGGTAGAAGCTGTTAAGTCAGTTCAACTTACAATGACCCTGTATAGGGTTTCCGACTCTGTAAATCTTTACGGGAACAGAAAAACTCATCTTTCTCCCGCAAAGCAGCGAGTGGGTTTGAACTGCTGACTTTGCAGTGAGCAGTCCAGTGCTTATCCTACAGCAGCCCCATGACTCCTTCTTCTAGACATTAAAACTCAAACTGACTGGCATCAAGTCCATCTGTACTCACAGTGAGCCTGTGCAGAATTTCTGAGGTTGTAAATCTTTTTTTTTTTGAAAAGTAAATAAGTAATAGATTGAACAGTTTTGTCTGGTGAATATATTCTACTTATTCCAGCCTGTGCGCCTTTGCTTAGAGTGTGTTTGGAATGATCTGCCTTTCCCCTTCCATCTATTCAAATCCTACTCATCTTTCAGGATCAGCATTGGACTTCAAACTCCAAGGTCAGCAGTTCAAATCCACCAGCTGCTCCTTGGAAATCCTCAGTGGGGTCGCTATGAGTTGGAGTCCACTCCACAGCACTTAAAACCACCATCACATCTTTCAAGGCACCAGCATTCCCTGACCATAGCAGGTCCCCAACTTTAGAGCACTTCCTGTCTCCCACCAGGTCTTGTTCAGTCTTTCTTTCCTTTCATGGTTAACCACAAGATTAATTCTTGGTAGAAAGAACAGTGGATTTGTACATACTCCTGATTTAAGCCATGGACAAAACCTCAAGGTGGTCCCAGGGAATAGTTGGCACTTGATTCGCTGTTGTTCTGTGATGATTTTTTTTTTTTAATGTTTTATTGTGAATTATGTGATTGTTTACAGGGGAGAACATTAGCTTTACATTCATCCTTTCATATATTATTTCATTGCCATGGTTTGAAGTTGTAAATCTTTATGGGACCAGAAAGCCTCATTTTTCTCCTGCAGAGCATATGGTAGGTCTGAACTGCCGACCTTGCGGTTACAAGTCCAATGCTTATCTTACAGTAACCACAAGCATTTCCAATGAAGAATCAAAGAGGTTTGAGTAATTTACCTAAATTTTGCTCAACTCAAAAGGGGCAAAACCAGTATTCAAACCCAGGAAACTTAGTTCCCCAGTGAGTGCCTTTAACCACTATGCTAGCTTCTCTACTTGCTTCCCTGCTAGGGAACCAGAGACTCAGGGATGAAGTAATTACTTCACAGTAATTATCTATAGCTGGTTGGTAAATTACAAGAGCTGAGATTGAAATCTATTTATAGGTCTGTCCAGACTGCATCTTAGTTACATTTGTTGCTGTTAAGTACTGTGGAGTTGGTTCCAACTCATTGTGACCCTGGCACAGGGTTTCCGAGGCTGCAAATCTTTATAGGAGCAGAAACCCTCATCTTTCACCTGCGAAACAGCTGGTAGTTTCACTAACCTTGAGGTTAGCAGCCTGATTCGAAACCACTATGCTACCAGAGCTCCATGCCAATTCTTGGAGTCCTGGCATAGTGCTGTGGATTAGTGTGCGGGACTGCAAAGTCCCTTTGAACCGCAAAGTTGGCAGCTCAAGCTCACCATCTGCTCCTTGGAAACCCTATACAGGGTCACTATGGGTCAGAATCGACTCAATGGCACTTAACAACAACAATATGCCAATTGTTACATCCTGGAATGAACTGATACTTTACCGCCCTCAAAAGGCTCCCCAAGAGACATCTAGTGGCCCAAACCAAGATTTCCTATTGGGAGTTAGGGATGAGAGGGTGGAACACTGGCAGAGAGTAAAGGTTGCATAACTTTTATGAGGAGAGGTGGTACAGGGCTTGGTTCTTGGGCTGGGCACACTAGTTTCCACTAGTTCATAAGTTGGCAAACTTTCTGTAAAGAATCATCTTTGGTCTTTGTTGCATTTTTTATTTTTTTTCCCATTTAAAACTGTAAAAACTGTCTGAGACTAAGGGCCCTATAGAAATAGCAGTCTGTTGGATTTCTCTGCTCCTACCATCTTCGTTATCTGTGCGGCTCTGGGGTCTGGGAGTCTCCTTCGAAAGAGGTTACTCAGCCAACACTCATCAGCATCCTTTATAGACCATGCTAGCAGTCACTGGGGACAGAGAAACAATTGTGTTTCTCTTAAGGAGCTCAGGCTCCTCTGGGGAAACAGACGAGCATCATTCAGTTCAATGAGGTTTTGCAGGAGACAGAAAAGGTCATGGGAGCTCAGAGGCAGGGTCATGCATCCACTCCTTTACAAAGGTTAAGAAAGGCTGTTCAGAATGGTGACAGGTACATGAACTGAGTCTTAAAGGGCACAGAGGGGGTGGTCAGATGAACCGAGGAGGCATGTGGGGCTGAAGGGCATCATGAATAAAGAAGGCAGTGCGTGTGTCCGTGGACCTGGGGCCTGAGTAGTCTGCTATGACTCGGGGACTTCTGTAAAGGCGCACTGCTGGAAAAGAGGAAGGCACCTGAGCATCACAGGGCTTCTGTGTCACTTGGAAAAACAGAATGTTACCCCAAAGGCCATGGGTAACTAGAATTGGGCTAAGGGCAATCCAGTCTGAGGAATGTCATATCGTTTTGTGTTTCAGAAAAATCCCGGTGACTGACATGTCGAGAATGGATGAAAATGGGTGCGACCAGAGGCAGGGACAGAACAGGAAGGAGAGAGAGGGAAATACAAGCAAGAGATAATGAAACAGGAGCTGGGACAGCAGGAATCAGGAGACTGGAGAAATTACAGAGGACTATTCTGTTAGCAAAGGAGCTCTGGTAGCGTAGTGGTTACGAGTTGGGCTGTGAACTGCAAGGTCAGCAGTTCAAAACTACCAGCTGCTCTGCGGGAGAAAAATGAGGCGTTCTGCTCCCATAAAGATTTACAGCCTCAGAAACCCAGTACAGGGTCGCTATGAGTCGGAACCGACTCCATGGCACTTAACAACAACAATTCTGTTAGCATGGCTGCCACCTCACGGAGACCCCATCCACCATGAGATCCTACACCAGCCCCATGGCCAGTGGCAAATCAGACTATTATCATCCATAGATGTTAGTTGTTGTTCTTTTTAATTCTTGTTGTTTACCATATACACAGAGTATACAGCAATCACATTACTTCTTGTTATATAATTCAGTGTTTTGAAAACATTATCCAAATTATGCAACCATTCTTACCCCCTTTTCCTGAATTGTTTCTTTCCCATTATCATGAACTCAATAATTCCTACATTTTCTATCAAATCTTCTGAGTTGCTCTTGTCAATGTGATCCTATATACACAGTTCTTAAGAGAGTATTATGCTCAAGATAGAAACTGTTTACTAATTAAGATAAACTACTATTTAGTCTCCACCTCCTCTCTGTTGGTAGCACTGGTGGTTGGAGTGTGGTGCTCTGATACTGGACGATACAACACATGTAGAGCTTCCAGACTGGGAATAAGGATTTGCGGGTCTACTTCTGAATACTGGCCAGTGCAAACCTTATGATTACCAGTAGAACACTGTCTGATAGTGCTGGAGTAGGAGCCCTTCCTTTGGGTTGGAAGACACTCAAAATATCACTGGGAGAAGACCTGCTTCCCCCAATTAGAATGGACCTTAGTGACAATGGATAAAGCAAAGCTGTCATTTGCTGATGGGGCACAACTTAAAAAGAGAAAAAGCAGCAAAAATCATGCATCAATAATGGGAATATACAATGTACAAAGTATGAATTTAGGAAAATTGGAAGTTCTCAAAAATAAAATGGAATGCATAAGATCAATATCTTAGGCTTTTGTGAACTGAAATGGACTGGTATTGGCCATATGAGTGGGATAATCATATGGCCTACTACGCCAGACAAACTGAAGAGGAATGGCATCATAGTCAT